TCTCACCCCTTAGCAACACCTAGAACAGTATAAGTGTCTCGGAAAGGGCTGATTGCACTCTGGGATTCAGTTCATGCAACTGATACATGGAAGAATAACAGAATGAAAAAGAGCTGGAAGCGAACCCCATTGCACTTCTCTTAACATTCTCTGCTGGTGGCTAAGGGACCAAGTAACATTGTGCCATGCTGGAAATCCAGGTTAAGGGGCAGCCACCGAAATCCCATTGCTCAAGAGTGTGAAAACCCAGAAGATCAGATGTGATGCCCTTGATCTTTATCACTGGGCATATGCTTCCCCAGTCCTATCTGCAAGGGTGCATGGATGGTGGTCTCTGAAGTGGTCAAGCAGCCCACTCTCCCATACACATGGATTGTTGTATTCACTACAGGTGCAGGATTTCATGGCTAACAAAGAAATGATCAGATATCCCAGACAAAGCAGCCCTATGGCTAATTAACAAGAGAAGCAAAAAAAAGAGGTACAAATTCTACTACTGTCCCATGATTGGCCAGCCTTGAACTCAAACCCCACCTGCTCTCCATGCTCCAAGAATGTGGAATCTTGGTGGCTTCCAGTCTCCGCAGACTACCTTGTGCTTCAGGAACTGGGTCCTTCAGGAAAAGGTCCTTCCTGGATAGCTGTTACATGCATTGAAACACTATATCCACTGAACTAAATACATGGGGGAACAACTTGCTTACAACCTGCGTAACCCTATGTCCCTCATGGGGCAGTCAGTTGACTGCAGCCGTATTGCATGTAAACGAGGGCAGATTTTGCTTTCAAGTCTAGTTCAGACTGGCTAGTGTATTTATCTGAACATAACAGCCAACCTTAGTTCAGTACCTATTTCCTACACTTCTTTCCTGCTTGACTTCTACCAAAACATTCGAGTGCTCAGATAATTGCAGGCACATTGCATGCCTGCATCTGAACTAATTTGGTGGACAGCCAACATTTCCTGTTCAGTTAGCATATCACGGAGCTACGTAAAATGGAAATTATGATGTCTCAGAAAAGTGGCTGGCTGCCTTCTATTCAGTTTAGAAATTCTAACTCTTTAGCAATTGAGCTATACCTCAAATTTCTATACTTCAGTGACAGCCAAGAATAGTTTAGATGCATGTAAGTTAGATACCTAAATCAAAGGAAAAACTACTATACCCAGTAGATTGGCAAATCACAATACTCTCCCACCTGGGGGAGTAATTACTGCTTAGCAAGAACATTCAGGCTCCAGTTCAGCAAGGTATTGAAGCACATGCCTAACTTAACACACATAAGTAATCCCTTTCCATGTGTAGTCCTTCTGACTTCAATGAAACTACTACCAAGTTTAAAGTTAGACACATGATTAAGTACCCTGCTGAAATGGGGCCTGAAAGTACAACCCAGTGTGCTCATATACAGAAAGTGTTGAAATTTACAGACTGTTCTATGTAAACACAAGTATTTCCGGTAGTAAATCTCTCCCCAGAGTTATTCAGAATAACCACTAGATGGAGCTACACAGTCACAAATCTGATTTATAGCCCCTAGCGGAGGTTGTTGCACTGTGATTGCCTCACACCCTTTTGCTTGCCTTGAAAAGGATGTCTTCCAGCTGCTTCCTTGATAAGCCAGCTACTTAAAAGAGGGACTGAAATGCCTTCACTTCCAAAAACAAATGAACACAGAGAAAGTGGTGAGATCCCAAATCAAATATGCACTCGTGTAGTCTTAGAAAATCAAATACGTTTTAAAAGTGAGCTGAAAGATATTTTGTTTGCCAGGACCTTATATTACATTTCTCGTGTTACTCCTACAAGTGGTGAAGCAGAGCAGATTATGTGAAACACCTGAACAATCAGCTGTTGGAAGAGAAATGCGGAGCTCTAAACTAAAGTTTGTCAAGTAAAGTCTAATCTACGCTAGAAAACATTTACTATCCACATAGCTATACCAGCAAACGCTCCTAGTGAAGACAGCTTCCACTGGCAAAAATGTGCTTTTGCTGATATAGCTTATACCAGATCCCTGAATGAAATGAGCTGTACTAGCAAAAGCACTCTTTTACCAGTATAAAAATCTCATAAAAAAAAAATCTCACATCCTTAACCGATACTATATTGCCAAAGTTTCTAGGCCGGGTCTACACTAAGGAACTGACTGAGTTATTTTGTTCCCATGAGTTAGGGGGGTGCAAAAACTGGAACCTTTTACCAACTTCCATCCCATCCCATGCCATCCCTCCCCCACATTGTAGGGCCCCATCCCACAGCAAGCTCTGTGTGAGCAAACCCCTGTCCTGACTTGCCACAGACTTCAGCCTTCGCAGTGCTTATCTGGATAACATCACACACCCGAGCCATCATTGCTTTGGGTTTTCCAAATCCCAAAGCCTGGACTCCCGGGCCCATCTCTAACATGCACTGCTGTGTGCCAGAAGCCCACGTGTGCATCCTACAATGAAATGGGAGCACAGTCAGGTTTTTTAATGATTTCCCCTTTAAAGAAAAATTCTGTTCTCCTCTTGGGGGAAAGGCATAATATAGGATTAGATTCATGCAGGCTCTTTCTTGTGCCAGTGAGGCATACTGCACCCTGGTGGGAGCAACTACCCCTGACAGGGAAGGGTAGGTAGCATTCCCCGTGTGGCTCTCTCAAGGGCTATAACAGGGAGGACAGCTTTAGTTTCCACTGGGAGGGGGAGGGGTGCATTGGGAGCCCTCCACAGAGTCCGGCACCTGGCTACACTGAATCAGTGTGCATTTGAAAACAGCCATCACCCAAACCATGTTAAAGCAAACCACTCCCCTGCACACCCAGGCCTCCCCCGGGGAGGGGATGAGAGAGAGAATGAACCACACGTGACAGAAGTTATTCATGACACTTCATGCACTAGCGTCAAGTGCTCAGGTAGCATGGTGCGGCGGGTGGGCTAAGAACCTGACTAGAACATTATCAGTGCATGACTCTAGCACCTTGGCCAACCCTACTGCCTCCCCAGCCCTGGCCATTCCTCAGGCAGTGGGCAGCCCTGCCCTGAGGAAGGAAGTTGAGGTTGTCATACACCATTGTAACCTCTCCCAAGTGGCATACACCATAGCATCTGCTAGCACAAACCAGGAGTGACTCTGGCCCTTGGGCACTCACGGACTCCTTTTCCTTCCCTTTCTGGTTTGGTCGCCTTCCCTGCTCCTGCTGATGTCTGCTCCCAGGAGCAGAACCCTGCATGCAGGCCTATACTTTTGCTTATAAGGGGCAGTACCTTTGTTAAACAGTGGGATGGGACTAGCCTTTATCCTCCACTGAATGCCTCAGAGAGAAAGTCACCTCGCCTCTCTTTCTATGAAGGATAAGAGCAGTTGGTCCCTTCCACCTCCCCCAACCCTTTATATATTATTATTTGCCTTCAGGTGATGGCACCTATAGCTCTATGCCCAGCAGGGCAGAACACAGAGAACCTAATAGAACTGGGGGTTTTAAGATCACATTGGTGGAACCAGGGGACTGGGAATCAGCAGATCCAATTTCTGTTCCTGACTCAGGCTGACTCATCCTGTGACTTTGGACAAATCACACCACTTCTCTGTGTGTCAATTTCCCCACCCGTAAAATAGGCTCAGAAGGATATGTAATAGGGCATACCTGCCCTGGAGCAGCCCCTACTAGCCAATCATGGCACTCCCTGCCTCCGTTTCCCCTCACCAGGGTTTTCTATCTCTCCAGGGGATTCATATGGCTCAGCCCACTGGCTGAGTTACTCTCAGAGTTCAATCCCCTTCCAGGGGAACAGACGTCCCATACAAACAAAAGGTTCTTCCACCCTACTTGAGCTCATTTTCAGATTCAGTTCCCAGCCCCTCCTGGGTTACCTTTAAGTCTCCAGGATGGAGACCCAATTTCCAGGCTACTTTCCTGGAGCCTTCTCCCCCTTCACTGTCCTCTCTGGGACAAAGCCCTGACTTGCAAGCTTCTTCCCTGGAGTCCTCCCAGACCCAACTTCCAGGCGTTCCGCAAGAGCCTAACTTGTTCCCTGTAGTGCTACAGACTTTTCTGTGCCCTTTTATGAAGCCCCAGAATTTCAGGCTGTCACCTGGCCCCAATTAGTCCAGTCCCCTTAGAATGGCAGGAAACTAAGAATGGCACAGGTTGGGCTGACTGAAGAGGGCTGGCCAGAACCCGGCCTTTTGGCCTTAACAGAGCAGGTCACAGAGTATTACAGAGTACTTCTTGATACAGTTGGGGTTCAGATGAAGGGTGCTGCATTATTTATTATTTGTATACATACTACAGTAGCACCTGCAGCTTCTGTCTGACACCCACGGGACTAAATGCAAGTAGTGTGAGACTCCCTGCCCCAAACAGCTTACAATCAAAGCAAAGGGGAAGCAAAGACAAAGCGAAATGTTCCTTGTGCAAGGTCACAAAGCAGGTCAGTGTAGAGCTGGAAATAAACCCAAATCTCCCAGTCCAATGCCCCGACCGTACTGCCCCTCATAGCTGCACGCTATCTTACAGACCCCGAAAATATTTTACACCATCTTCTTTAATTTTGAGAACCTCCAGGTGCAAAGTTATTTATTCATCTTAACAGAAACAAACACCCTGCCTATAAAACAATAAATATTGCAGACCTTTATAGACCCGCTGCTAACTATTTTTACACCTCCCAGAGCCTGAGGCTGTTGTAATCCAAAACAGAGATTTCCCAGTAATTAGATTTCACTATTGCAGTAGAGATTGCTTTGGATTCCCTTAGAACATTTAAATGCTAATTTTGCAAGCACTGATTTGTAACCTGAGTTTATGATGATTTCATGCCTCTTTCAGAATGCCTGGCTTCTCCACTGTAAAATGCCAATGCTCATAAATAAAACGAATTACAGCAAGCCCTGTTTGTTCTTGCCTGTAGATGTTGCTCTTTCCCCACTGTTGTTTGTGATCATCACATGGCTGCAATGCTTGCTCAGGCCCTGCAAACACGTGATGCTCACTAGATAAGGAACCCTAATGCACTCAGTGAGTTAGTCATTGTTCTTAAAGCTGCAGCACCCAACAACATCCATTTTGAATCTTGCTGCTGTTTCCTTCTTCTCCTCCGTTTCCCAAAATGCCCTTTTTCAGTGTAACTAAAGAAATGGCCATTGGAACCGCAGTCCTGGGGGTTGCTTTTGCTACTGGAGTTTTAGCAGGTAAGCGCTGCTTTCTTCTCTGATCTATAAAATCCAACACACCCTCCCAGTTCCCAAGCCCATGGCCAGAAGTGAGCTCTCCTTGAGCAGAAGGAAGCAGCAATCCGATTCAAAGCACAGTCACTAACTGTGCTCAATCCAGCTGCACTTTAGCACCCCTTTAAAAAAAAAAGTGTGTGTGTAGATTAGAAAGTAATTTACTAGATGTTGGGGGAAGAGGAGAGGAAAAGGGGCGAAGGTGCTGGAATTAAAACTGCTGGCTTCTAGAATGTTAGCCACGTGAAGGTGCAAAATATTGTATAGGGAGCGAGTGAGGGGGAGAGAGAGAGAGAGCTTTCTATAGACTTAAAGGTTGTGGTTACATTTTTCAAAAGGCCTGGAGATTAACAATATCCTTTTTAATGAGGGTAATGGAATCTTATGCTTCAGGTCACAGGCTGACAGCTCCCAGGTCAGGCATGGGCTCTGGAAGGAATTCCCCTTGCACCTGTCCCCAAGCACTGGCCAGGGGCATGCTGGCTGATTCACCTTCCTGTGCCAGAACCTGGCCACTGCCTGAGGCGGGAGACCAAATACAATCCTGATCCTGCAATGAGAGTGGCTCGTGTGGACTCCTTTGCCTGTCTTGGGACTCTGCATGGGTTTGCACTATCAGATCTCATTGTAGGATTAGCACTTATAGGAATCCATGGCAAACCCTGTGCACATTGGGCAAGACTGCATGTTGCACATCCTGCAGTATAGCTAGCCCCAAGCATTCAAAATCGCAAGATTTGGCTTACAAATCATGAGATTTGTAGAAAAATAAAACCGGTTCTATTTGCTTTCTGGATTCTGATCCTTTAGGAGTTCCATGTTCAAGTTTTTTTCTCTGCAAACATAAGGGCTAAATTTTTTTTTTTTTTAATTGAAAGTTCAGATTCTCTTGGAATCATCTGACTGCAGCTGGGAAAGAGACTAAATATTGTGAAACTCACAAGAGTTGTCAACAATTTGCAACTACCACCTATTTCCATAATAGCGTGAGCCAAAGTCCAGGCTCCAAACAGACCCAGTATAGGAAAATCAGAATCTGAGCTTTAGCTTTGCCGTTTGTACTTCTGTCTGATCTCAATAAGCTGAACAGTAAAAGCAAACGTCTACCCCATTCTGTTCCTTTTTGTGGTTGCGTTATGTATACATGGTGCCAAGTATCAGGGGGTAGCCATGTTAGTCTGTATCCACAAAAACAATGAGGAGTCCGTTGGTTCTGATTCCTCATTTTTATGTATACATAGGAACCTACTCCGAGTGAATAGCAAGATAGAGTATCCTCTCCAAAAGACCTTTTCTAGCAAGAACTGAACACAAGGAATGGGTTATAGGCAAGGATTTGACTGAGCTCTGGCAGTAAATATACAGTGCTGTTAAAGGCCCAGTCTGTCTGTATAATCCACTATGCCACTGTACTGCAATAGGCTGGAAAGCACACCTACCAATAGCTCTTCTGCTCAGGATTAAAAGGCCAAGGTCTTAGCAAAGCTGCTGTGAGCTGTTTCAGCCCTCCCTTTGCAAGGTGACTGCAGACAGACATGCATCCTCCTAAGCACATTGGAAATTGCCATCTTAGTGTTCTGGTCATGGCTTTTTCTTCTGGTAAAAGGAGCAGGTGCTAGTTTTCTCCCATCAGCTGGGGCGAGAGCAAGCACGGTCTGAGCAGAGGAGCAGGGACTAGGATACTCGCGTTCTGTTCCTCGCCCTGTCACTGACTCGCTGGGTGGTCGTGGCAAGTCACCAGACCTCTCTGTGCCTCAGTTTGCCCCTCTGTAAAGCAGGGATATTATTAGAAAAAATGCTTTGAGATCCTTGAATTAAATGTGCCGTCTTATGGCAAAATCAGCCACTGAACGACATCAGTGTCAATTTATAGTCACTGCAGACCTGGACTGGATTTGAACAGATGCGTTAGAGGTGAAAAACCTCTAATCCCACTGCCAATCCCCTGAGCTGTCTAGCCCCTTCACCATCTTCATTTGGGGTTTTGCAGAGCAAGGCCCCATTAGCCTTTCGTGGCAGTTTTCTTGGTCTTTATTTGCTCACGGCATAACTGGTCATTGCAAACTTTTTCCACTGACACACAAAAACTTTGAATATCTTAATTTTTTTTATAGGTAAAAAATATCCATTTTTAGCTTTTGGAATTCCCCGATCATCCAAGACTTTACTTGGAAAAGGGGGCCCGCTATGGCAATACATATTGGATCACTCTCTGCGGGAGCATCCAGTCCTAAAGAAGCTGCGACTGGTCAGTGTTTTTCTCAAGATATGTTTTGTGGAGCGTGGTGTGTATACAGTACTGCTATTAATGTCCCATGATTCATAGAGTCCATGGCCAGAAGGCACCATTGTGATCACCTAGTCTGACCTCCTGTATAACAGAGGCCATAGAACTTCCCCAAAATAATTCCTAGAGTGGCTCTTTTAGAAAAACATCCAGTCTTAATTTAAAAATGATCAGTGATAGAGAATCCACCACAACCTTTGGTAAATTGTTCTGATGGTTAATTACGCTGTCAAAAATGCATGCTTTATTTCCAGTCTGAATTTGTCTAGCTTCAACTTCCAGCCACTGGATCATGTTAGACCTTTCTCTGCTAAATTGAAGAGCCCATTATTAAATATTTGTTCCCCACGTAGGTATTTACAGACTGTCAGCAAGTCGCCCCTTAACCTTTTCTTTGTGAAGCTAAATAGATTGAGCTCCTTGAGTCCATCCCTATAAGGCATTTCAATATTGTCTGTGCCCAGTACATAGATCTGCTAGTCCCTAAAGAACTGCCTTTTCTCTATCCACCTGTATGCAGATTTGTAGTGGTATCTAAGGCCCAGAGTCTCAAAGCTATTTAAGTACCTGATTCCCACTACTGAAGTGGTTGCCCCATGGCACCCAGAAGGCCAGTGGCAGAATGCCAGACTAAAACCCAGCTCTCCTTTGGCAGGGCAGTGCCTTATCCACTGGGCCAAACTACCCCCTCCATAATCATTGCATTGTTCCCTATATAAAATATTTAAATAGAAAACAAATGTGTTGATTTTAAGGCCAGAAAGAACCATTATGATCTAGTCATAGAAGGCCATAGAATTCCAGCCAGCAATTCTTGCATCAAGCCCATAGCTTCTTGCTGAGCTAGAGCGTGACTTGTAAAAAGACAGCAATCTTGATTTCAAGACTTCAAGTGACAGAGAATTCCCCCCTCCCCTCCCCGGTCCCTAAGTAAGTTGCTCCTGTGGTTACTTACCCTCACTGTTAAGTTTGGCCACAACAATGGTAGCTGCTTATACATGTATCTTCTTTGGTAAATGAACAGAAATTGCTTCTCTGAGATCAACAGTAATAATAAACCCCAATGCTGTCCTCATCCTGAGGATCACGTTGGGCTCTTGGGGTCTGCCTGAAAGAGCAACTTCAGAGTAGTTTTTCTTTTCCTGTTTCCTTTCAATTTTGTACCATTTCCTTTTCTAGCTCACCTTGGACCATCCCTGGGGTAGAATGATGGTGTCTTGTGACCAGGCTCAGCTTATGGCAAACTTGGCCAAACTCATCAAAGCCAAGAAAGCTATTGAAATAGGTAAGAATGCACGTTTCCTAGGGCATGGCTCAACACCGATCATTTGGAAGCTGTGTCAACATAGTTCCCAGCTTCACCAAGCCTACCAAAGAGCACCAAGGGTGATGGGAGGTGGTCAGAGCAGGACTCTTCAGTTAGCTTCTTGCCTCTGACCTTGGGCAAGTCAAATTTTCAATAGTGACCACTGATATTGGGTGCCCAACTTGAGACACCTGTTCTTGATTCTTAAAGGTGCTGCAAATCCCCAGCCCCCGCTGACATCAACTTCAGTGGTGAGTGCTCAGCACTTCTGGAAATAAAGACCCAGGGGTCGCAGTTTGGGTACTTAATATCAGTGGCCACTCCGGAAAGTTTTGACCCTGACCTCCCTGCCCGTTTCCTCACCTGTACAATGGGGATAAGACCAACCTCTCAGGGGTGTGGTGAAGCCTAATTCAGGGCTGACGGTACAGCAGTGTGAGCGGCTTATGTGGAAAGCACCATGGGACAAAAGCGGAAGAAGAGAGCAAAGCCCAAGTGAAAGGGCTTTGCTGGGGTGGACCTAAGGGAAAGATTCTCAACCCCCTGTTTTTCAGGGCTAGGGAATCCACAGCAGCTGCCAGCTACTGCCGGTGGAGAACAACAGGCGCAGCCCACAAGGATTCAGTGTGCCACGCTGGCCGTGGCTCCGTCCCCTCCTCTTCCTTATTCCCTTAGAGACCCGCTAAAGTCAAATTCATGCCATACAGGATGGTACTCTGAGGCCAGGAGACCATTGACAGACGTAAGCTGTGAATTTAGCTAGAGAACTAACGAGAGTTCACAGCCACTATTCTGTCGGGCTTCAGCAGCTACAAAATGCTACCCTGGTAATGGGACAGATAGCATTAATTCACTAGTGATTTGGGATCCTCAGCTCTTTTGGGGGGCTTTATTCTTTAACAAAAAAAAATCCTTCTTGTCCACAGTTAAATCAGTTTTCATGGTCAAATGAGTCTTACTTCTTTCTCTCGTGTCTTTTCTAGGTGTTTTTACAGGCTATAATACCTTAAACATGGCACTAGTCTTGCCAGACGATGGCAAAGTGGTTGCCTGCGATATAAATGAAGATTACGTCAGTATTGGAAAGCCGCTATGGAAAGAGGTAGATAGTCTCTGCCCGTCCCTAAATGCTCCATACTCTGAATAGGAGTGCTCAGAATTGTAGGAGTATGTTCCAGGACGGCTTAACTCTGTTTCCCTCCAATTCTCAGATGTGCGTGTGTGGCAGCTGCAGGAAAGAATCAGGTAGTTAGAGGGTTATGCAACTTATCCACCCAAATCCAAGTGTCACGGAATGTGAGCATTCACTTTAGGCACTATAGTATAGGCTGGGTTGAGGCAACTTGGTAAACTTGGCCTGTTTGACCAAATGTTATTTGAATTCTGGAAGTAACAGGGAGAATAGGTATGGGATCCTCCAATTTTATGGTGACTTTTCTGAGTGCATCCCACTTTAAGATATTTCACAACTACTTCCATCAAATCCCTTTCCTCTTTTGTTTCAGGCAGGAGTGGAGCATAAAATAGACTTGCGGATTAAACCAGCAATACAAACACTTGGTAGGTAACATAATAAATATGAAAAGTAGAGGCTGAAGACTTAGGCTGGGGAGGAGTCCTTCATGTGAAGTCTGAGATTAGGAGTTGTATAGCAAAGATGAACATGCAGTTTCATCAGTCACAATGGGCGGCTTCTCAGTTATATAAAGGAAATTTAGGAAGAGTTCAGCTGTTTCCAGATACTGGGAGAGAGAGAGAGAGAAAGTGGATAACTGTTCATCCACTATCCATTGTTACATTGGTCACTTAAACACAGCAATGGGCCGTGTGGGTAATATTAAAAAAGGTATTGTCTTGCTGCTTCTATCACAGGGAAAGCTGCTTAAGATGGATTTAAATTGGACAAAGCCCAATTTCTCTCCCTTGAAGTGTCTATTCTAAGTGATTATCTGTTTATTCTAGGCAAGCAAAGTCTTCTCCGAGGAGTGAAAGATGCAGAGGGAGTCGAGAAGCTAGTGTACAAGCATCAGAGGCAGGAGATTTCTGATCTGGGGAAATGCAGTTTGGTATTCGTGGTCAGGAGGAAGCAAAGTCTTCCAAGACCACGGAAAAGGCAGATGCAGAACAAGTTTGTATAATAGGAAACACTGTCTCACAGGGGAGCAGCATTAAGGAGGGAAAGTTGCTGTCAGAAAGACTGTTTATTCCCACTGCTAATGCCAGTGATCCATTCCACCAGCCAATGCTGCTTCTTTGCCCACACTTAGCTTTTCAGAAGAAGTGTCTTTAAGAGACAAAACTGTCCAGAAGCAGCCTAGCACAGTCACTGTAGTACACATGGGGCAGTGTCCTCTTAGTGTGACTGATGTTGCTGTCCTGCCTGGTAGCTAGACTAATGCGGCCTGTCACCCACTCTCTTCTGTCACAAACATTAGCCTTGTCTGGGCCACGTTCTTCCCTCCAGTGTACTCATACAAACTCTGATAACAACAGGGCTGTCTGCTGACTAACCCTATGCAGAAAAGGCCTCACAAGTTGTTCTCCAAAACAAGAGGGTGCAGAGCAATTTGAGAAGGGCAGATAACTTGCATGAGCTCCTTGCTCCTTCATAGTAGGCCTCTCAAAACCCTATCTCTCTTCCCCTTCTCTTCTGTAGAGGTCACTACTGAGATGCTGCATTGGGGAGTGAGATTCCAAATGGGGTCCCCTCCCAAAACACACAGAGTAGTGGTGGGTGGGGCTATAAACAGCCAAGTACTTCTCTCACCTTCTAGTGCCCTGAGGAGGACCAGAGCCATTGTCTCTGCAGCTGACAGTTCCAGTTTGGAGCGGTCAGCCAGAGTGCAGCGTAAGAAAGTTTTAACAGACCCCAGTTCCACTTGTTTTGGCCCAAAAAGGAGAAATGGAATGGGTGACTCCTGAGAAAAGCCCACTGGTTGACAACCATTTGCTGCCATCTGTGATTACACAAAGGATGCACTTGCTCAGGCAAAGTCCACCAAAGGGCCTTCTGGGTAAGAATTCTGCATGACCCAAATTACAGCACTGTGGTCAGCAGTTGATTGATCAGTCTGAAAATTCATTTAACATCTAGGGCCTTTCTACTGGGGGAAAATTTCTAACCAGCTTTAAAAACCAGTTCAGCTAAGCTGATTTTAAAACTAATGGAGAAGAAGTGTAAACCCAGTTTAAAGGATCCTGGCCTGCTCTTACTGAACCAAATTTAGGAGTATCACGTCTACAGTCTACACTATGGCTTTGGCTGCTTCTAAAATTGGATAATAAGCTTCTCCAGACCCTTGTAGACTCTGAGCCTTGACGCACATGGATTGTCTCATCCCTTTATTCAGTGTTAAACCAGAGCATCACAACACGCTTTGTTTCCTGTATAGATGAACTACTGGCAGACGGTGAAGCTGGGACCTATGACTTTGCTTTCATAGATGCAGATAAACAGAGTTACAATGAGTACTATGAAAAATGTTTACGTCTCATAAGGAAAGGGGGAATCATAGCTATTGATAATGTAAGTATTAACCCACTGTTCCACCCCCACTTTAAGTCACATTAGATAGTTCCAGTAACAACCTTAATTCTGACCCAGGGGACATAGATTCCAAACACAGCATTAAGTTTCCAAATTATATAAAGGTGATTAAAAAAAGACAACATGATTGTTTTATTTACCTGTTAATGACACACACAGGTAATATCTGCAGCAACTAAAACGACCTTGCATTAACCTGTATATATGTACACTTCAGCGTCTACTGTGCCCCCCCCCCACACACACACACACACACACACAGTGCAGAATACCAATATCTTATCAAGCTATTCATTCATAGACT